AACACATTTAGGGACCAGGCAAGCCCCCTTGACCCCTTTTGGGGATTCATCACTCTGGATCACAGTCCAGTGGGAGGCAGTGACAGCAGACAGTCAGACAGCATGGGGCTGGTCAGGGAAGCTTCCCTGTGGAGCCATGTGTAACTGGCTCCTGAAGGACAAGGATGAACCGTCCTGAGAAAGACAAGCATCTGAAGAGGAAAGAACAGCCTTGGGCCTGGCACATTTCAAAACCTGAAGGTGTCAGAGAGAAGGGGCCACAGAGGTGGGCAGGGCTGGGTCCTGCAGGGACAGGAGAGTCCTGGTGGGAGGCTCAGACCAAAGGGGAGGGCGGGGCGGGGCTTGTGCCTTGGGGAGCCGCTGTGTGCACCCTGGTGGGGGGAGGCACGTACCAGTCCATGACAGTAATGTCTGGCTGCTCGTCATCAAGAAGCTCCTCCCACAGGCCCTCGGCCAGCAGATCCACACACTGATGCTTCACCGTCCAGCTGTGAGAGAGGGCACAGGGGAGGCGGGCTCTGGGACCTGCTGGCATTCTTGGGCATCTCCCAGGCCAGCCTGACCCCAGGGAGCAGGAAACCTGATCACAGCACCCTCATATCCAGGGGACCCCGGTATGGGCGCTGGGCCCTCACCGGGCGCCTTACAGTCTCGGTTCCCATCACCCTCTCGGCAGGCGATGCATTCTGAACCCTGTGCTTCGGTGGGGAAACCGAGGCTCAAGAAGGGAAGTGAGTTGCCCAATGTCAAGCAGCAAAGAAGCTCCGGGCCAGCGTGACTCTGAGCCCCTGAGTTACACCATCTCACACACTGCCCAGAAGCGGGGCTCAGATTCTCGGGGCCTGGGGACTCGCCTCCTCCCAGGGGAAGAGGCTCAGCAGAGGAACAATAATAGCTGCTACTTGTGAACACCTACTATGTGTAAGCCAGACCTGGCCAAAGCCTGTGCTGTGTGTTAGGGGCATTCTCTGGGCAGGTGACTAACTCTGTGTTTACAGAGCAAGAAACTGAGGCCCAGAGAGGCAAAGCCATTTTCTCCAGGTCCCCCAGCAAGGAAGGCTGGAGGAGGGAATCCATCGCAGGCCCGGGGCCTGGCCACTCACCTGCAGTTGTGCTGGAGCTGCTCAGTCCTAATGTACCACCCACGGAAGTTGCCTGCCAGGTGGAGGAGCAAAGGGTGAGAAAGCACAGAGTGTCTGGCGCCCTCCCCTGGGGACCAGCCCCCAAGCACTCACCCAGCGTCTCCAGGGGCTGCCGAGTGGGGCCAGTAGGGGGCGCTGGCTCATAAATGTTGATGCCTGAAATGGGCAGGTGATGCACAGAGCCTCAGGCCTGCTGGAGCTGCCCCTGTCCACCCTCTCCCCGCACCCTACCCCCAGGGCCCCTCTGGAAGGGCAGGAAGCTGTGCCACCCACCAGGCCAGACCAGTCTGGCAGGGGTGAGTGAGCCAAGGGCCCAGGGACAGCCCTGAGAATGTCCTGGGGGAGAGGGACCAGGTGCGTTCTGGTGAGGCAGAGACAGAGGGACAGGGAGGCACCAAGAAAAAGGCACTTAGGATATAGGTAGAGGGAGGAGCGGGAGGAGCGGGGTGGGGGGGGACGGGGAGCAGGAGGAAGGGAGTGAGCCGGGGTGACAAGAGACACAGGGAGAGCTAGAGACACATGGCACAGAAGGAGACAGAGGCAGGGATACAAGGCAGGACAGAGCCTCAAGCAGACAGACAGAGGTACAAATAACAGAGACAAAGGCACAGAAACAGGGATAGCGAGACAAGGGATGGAAGAAGAGCAGAGGATCTGGGTAAGCAGCGTTGGGGAAGAAGCTAGGCTGGCGGCACCCGCACCTTCGGGGTTGGGCGAGCGCAGCAGGTTGCGGTAGAGCGGCCGCCGCAGGAAGAGCAGCTTCCAGGTGAGGCCCGGCGGCAGCTCCAGGCTCGCGCCCGGCGGCCCCCACTCCTGCAGCAGCAACTGCCGCGCGTGGGCCTCCGACGGCTCCTCTGCCGGGGACACACCGGGGCTCTCGGGGGTAGCGGGCGACGGCGGCGACTGCAGTGGAGGTGGCGACGGTGGCGAGGGCGGCTCCCGGGGGCTCTGGGGGCTCGCGGGCTCCTCGGAATCCATCCCGGCGCCGAGCTCGCGTCCCTCCTGCACCTCCTCCATCCGGGCGGGCGACTGTCCGGGCTCCGCCGCAGGGCTCGGGGTAACTGGGTCGGGGGGGCGGGGCTCTCCAGCTGAAATTAAAGAGAGGGGTGTGTAGTGGGAAGGATCTGGGCCCGCAGGCACTCCTCCCTCGGACGGAGGAGGCCAGGTCCCCAGCCCTTCCTCCCGCAGAGCCAGGAGTTCAGGCCCCCAGCCCCCTCCAGTCTCAGACCAGGCGGCCAGGTCTTAGCCCCGCCTCAGTTTCCCAAGCCTCCTGCTCAATTCCCCGGAGCGCTGGCCTGGGATTGGGGTGTGACAAGGGAGCTAATGCTCTCTAAGGAGGCCCATCCACCTCATTAAGATCCAGCAGGACCCTCGCTGGTTCGCTCAGTGGATAGAGCGTCGGTCTGCGGACTGAAGGGTTCTCCCGGGTTCGATTCCAGTCAAGGGCACCTGCCTGGGTTGCAGGCTCAATCCCCAGTAGGGAGCGTGCAGGAGGCAGCCAATCAATGATTCTTTCTCATCATTGATGTTTCTCTCTCTCTCTCCCTCTCCATTCCTCTCTGAAATCAATAAAAACATATTTTTTAAAAAAAGATCCAGCTTGGCAGGAGGTTAACTAATGAAGACCCCCTCTTTCAGCCTCTCCTCTCAGCAGAGGGGGTGTCAGCAGAGGCGGGGGGGGGGCCTGCTCTGTCCCCACCTGGGACACGCCCTTGGGACCCTGACATTTCCTGTTCTGGAGACCAAGGTGGGTGCAGGGCAGAAAGAGACCTATAGCCAGAGACAGGGAGTCACCCACATGGGGGTCCCTGGTGAGACACTGAGATAGCAGCAGAGACGGAAGCAGCAACACTCTCTGGGTTTTTGGGGTGCCAGCACCCCTTCCTGGGGCTGGGGCAGGCAACACAGGCTGCCAAAGCCTCCTCCCTCAGAGGAGGAGTTTGGAGTGAGGGATGGGACCGTGGCGGGGGCAGGAGGTGGGGGTGTGGAGGAAGTGGGATGGTGGAGAAACCTGTAGGGCCAGATGCCCACGGCCACATCCTGCCCACGCCACATCCCACACCAGGCCAGCACAGGCGCAGAGTTCCACACAGATTCCGTGTCAGCCAGTGCTTTCTGCTTGCTGGGTGCCCGTCTAAGTGCGCGCACGTTCATTTCATCCCCTAAGACCAGAGGAGGGAGGTGCTGCTATTACACGGAAAGGTAACAGCAAACGTGTTGTGGAGCTGTGTGCGCCCCACGTGCTCCAGTCCCATCTCACATGCACACCAACCCTATGTGGGTGCTGTTGCTACCCCTGTTTCACAGATGAAACAGAGGCCACTCTCACAGGCCTGGGAGCTTCCTGCCCCAGATTGGAGGGGAAACATGCTGCAGACACTGGGAGCTGAGTTCACACCCCAGTGACGACACTCATGCAACAGGGCTGACTGTGCCAGGGACTGTTCCAGCTCTTCGGGTGGGGTGATTAATTCAATCTCCGCATCCTCCCTAGGAAGCAGATACTAAACTCATTTTGCAGACGAGGAAACTGAGACACAGTAAGGTCTAGTAACTCACACAAGGTTGCACAGCTGATATGTGGCAGGTTGGATACACAGAACTTCAGATAAGATACACAGGGACACAGATTCAAATCACACCAAGGAGAAACACTGGTCCACACAGAAGCAGACAGGAGATAATAATGGTCATATTTATTGTCTGTCTTTAACTCCCTGAACTTCTCAACAACCTCAGGAAGCAGAAACTGATAATAATACCTCCATTCACAGATCAGAGGCAGAGAGGTGAAGCAACCTGGCCTGGGAAAGTTGGGAATTAGCCAATTTAGGGTCCTGGCAGGCAGAAAGGACCCATGGGAGGGGACAAACCAACTAATACATACTGGCGCCTAGCCCCACTGCACATGGAAGCTCCCAGGAGACTTCCAGACAAGCACTCAAAGAGCCCAGGACAACCCAACAATCAGAGACTCTCCCCAGGCATCACAAACCCACACCCTCTCTGGTGGCTTGCCCACCTGTCCTCATTGGAGGAGGAGGAGGACGAGGAGGAGAAAGAAGAGTGTGGCCCGTAGAGTCAGAGCTGTCTCCAGGTTAGAATCCAGGGCAGGGCAGGGAGTTGCTGGGAGCCAGGCACCTAAAAATAAGGGCAAGGGAGAGTCTGCAAAGTGGAAATCGACACCCCCTCCTCTGCCTGCCCCCTGCCTGCCATGGTTTCCACATCATTCCTTCCCTGAGAGTGGACACACACACACACACACACACACACACACACACACACACGGTGGCAGCCAGGGGGTTCTATGAAAGCCCAAAGCCAACAACTCACTCCCCCACTTACACCTGCCATGGCTCCCCAGTGTCTTCAGCAAGTCCCAGGTTTCTGGCAGGCATCCGAGGCCCCAGATCCCTGAGCCCCGCCTCTGTGATCTGTTCTCTCTCATCTCAGGGATTTTGCTCCTGAAGTTCTTCCCACCTGGAATGCCCTGCCTTCTCCCCACACCCCCACACTTAGAGGTCCCCAAGCATTAAGGCACCTCAGATTCACCCAGGGAGCTTGTTTAAAATGTGTATTTTCAAGCCCTCCTCCCAGGAGTCCTACTCAGTCCCTCTGCCCCCAGAATCTAAAAGTCAAGAAGCGAGAACCAAGATGGCAGCATAAGTAAACACCTATACTTGCTGCCTCTCACAACCACATCAAAATTACAACTAAAAGGCAGAACAACTACCACCCAGAACCATGGGAAAGCTGGCGGAGTGGAAGTTCCACAACTAGAGAGGTGAAGAAAGTGCATCGAGACTGGTAAGAGGTGTGGAGGCGCGGCAAGTGCTGGCACCTGGATGTGCTGCTCTTTTAATGAGGAGGAAGATACAAGCTCTCGCTTGCTCTGAACTCCAGTTCCAGGCGAGACTCTGGGGGACCCAGACACATATGAAGAGAAACTGGACTGTCTGGCATCGGAACAGGAATGCGAGGGTGGCTTTCTCTCAGAAGTGCTCGCAGTGATCGTTGTTCCTGCACGGGGGCGTGGGACCCGGAGACCCAGGGACCTCTCTGATGCAGGGCTGACTGGCAGGCATTGTGTTTGCTCTGCCCTGGTGATTCCCAGAGACCCCGCCCCACCCACTTTAGGATCCCACCCAAGCTGTGTGCATCAGCTTTTGCATAAGAATGTCCTGTCCTCTCTCCACCTAAAACCTGTCAAACTGCAGCTGGGTCAGAGAGCCCCAGAGCTTCCAAAAGAAGGCCCAAGGCCGGCAGCAGCATCCTGCCTTGCTTCACAGCTGGGCCTCATCTGGGCACTTACAAACCCCATACAAAGAGTAGGAATCTGCAGATGTCTCTGTAGCTCCTGCTGGGCAGCCCCAGACAGTGGCTGACTTTGCACCTTTTTGGAGATCCAAGAGCCAGTGTACCCAGTGGTCAGAGTGAGACCATACCGGATTACAACTCTTCACATCCATGAGACACTCTCAAGGGGCAGACTCAGTGAGCACCAAAGCCCCACTGAAGCAAGTCCTGCCCCATAAGGGTGTCTCCTGCACAACAGATCTTTCAGTGAAGACACAGATGGTCATCACAGCCAATTGGCCTGTAGGTCAATTCCTCCCAATGACACCAACAGCAATCAAGGGTTAACTAAAACAAGACTGTGCAAACAGCCCACAAAGGGGTGCACCAAGAGTGTCCACCTCAGGTGACTGGGGAGGCTGAGCCACTGGGCCCTATAGGACACCTACCACACAAGGCCACTCTATCAACTCAAGGAGACTTAGTAGCTACCCAGTACATAGAAACAAACACAGGGAAGCAGCCAAAATGCAGAGACAAAGAAATAAGTCACAAATGAAATAAACGGATGAAAGCAAAATACTGGATATAGCGTTCAAAACCACGGATATCAGGTTACTCAAGAATCTTCTAGAAACCTCCAAGAAATTTAGTGAGACCCTCAAGGATATGAAAAAGGACCAATCAGAAATTAAGCATACACTGACTGAAATAAAGAATAATATACAGAGATCCAAAAGCAGAGTAGAGGATTCCAAGAATCAAGGCAAAGATTTGAAATATGAAGAAGCAAAAACACCCAACCAGAAAAGCAAAAAGAATCCAAAAATATGAAGATAGTGTAAGGAGCCTCTGGGACAACTTCAAGCGTACCAACATCCAAATTATGGATGAAGAAGAGAGAGAGCAAGATATTGAAAACCTATTTGAAGAAATAATGACAGAAAATTTCCCCTACCTGGTGAAAGAAATAGACCTACAAGTCCAGGAAGCGCAGAGAACCCCAAACAAGAGGAATCCAAAGAGGACCACACCAAGACACATCATAATTAAAATGCCAAGGGCAAAAGACAAAGAATTTTAAAAGCAGCAAGAGAAAAACAGTTAGTTACCTACAAGGGAGTTCCCATACGACTGTCAGCTGATTTCTCAACAGAAACTATACAGGCCAGAAGGAAGTGGCAAGAAATATACAAAGTGATGAATAGCAAGAACCTACAACCAAGATTACTCTGCCCAGCAAAGCTATCATTTAGAATTGAAGGTCAGATAAAGAGCTTCACAGACAAGAAAAAGCTAAAGGAGTTCATCACCACCAAACAGTATTATATGAAATGCTGAAGGGTATTCTTTAAGAAGAAGAAGAAAAAGAAAAAGGTAAAGATAAAAAATTATGAACAACAAGTGACAACAAATACATATCTATCAACAAGTGAATCTAAAAATCAAATAAATAAAAAACCTGATGAACAGAACAGACTGATGAATGGAATAGAATCAGGGGCATGGAAAGGGAGCAGAATGACAATTCTTGGGGGGGTGGGGAAGGGGTTGTGGGGGGTGTGGGAAAAGATTGGACAAAGAGCTTACACCTATGGACGAGGTCAGTGGGGGTAAAGCGGGGGGGGGGGAGGCCTGGAGTGGGGTGAGAACCGGGTGGAGGGGAGCTATGGGGGGAAAAAAGAGGAACATTTGTAATAATCTCAACAATAAAGATTAAATGAATAAATAAATAAATAAATAAATAAATAAATAAATAAATAAAAGTTAAGAAGCTCACATCCCACATTCC